TATTTGACAAGTAAATTTACTTGGAAAAGTTCCTAAGTACGGTCCTCATTACTTAACCCAAGTACTTGACTCAAGTACATTCACTAGGGTAACATAATAAATTAAAAGTCTAATAACTTACCTTGCTGAAATGATAAATTGAGTTGAGCCGATGGGTTAAAAATTTGTGATGATGATGCAATTGAGCTTGTTGTGACTGAATGGGCGTTTGATTATGTCGGTCTCGATGATGTATCAGTGGAAGCATGTCACAAGCAGAGAGATCGTCGTATCTTGTTAGTGGATGACATTGTTGCGGCTGTCGGTTAAAACGACCACACAATGCTGCACGGTTGATTATTATTGGATCTTGATGCTCATTGTCATCGCGATCTTCTCCACGAGTTTGATTCGAAGAAGTTAAGCATGATGAAGAATTTCTTGTAGAAACACGTTGTACTGTTAGATTATTCGGTGAAGAATGTTGCATAGGAGTTAATTGCGATGCAGCAGCACCAACCAAAACTCCAAGAGCTACAATAATTGATTCTGTTGCAGAGAATGATTGTTGTTGTTGCTGTTGTGATGGAACGTTGGGATTTGGTGGTGGTGAAACAGATAAAATTGGTAATGGAGGAATATTTAATGCAGAATCTGCGACGGTTGAAGATCGATGTATTGGACGCAAGTGTGAAGTGGTGAATGAGGGAAGTTCTGCAACACTTGGCTGCTCATACACACCCAGGACGAGCAATGGTATATCAAGATTTCCTATGGTCTTATATGGTCTTTACAAGATCTTATTCCAAGAAACCATAAGATTTCAAAGGATCTTGTAAGATTTTTATTTTTTTACTCATTCTAAGCGATAGGAATGAGTTGCGTTTATTATCGACTTGTCACTAATATAAATAAATTTCCTAAGACAGAAACTGGTTCGAGGAAAGTTCTGAGTGTAACAAAGAATTATTTTAGATTTTATTTTCTGTATTGGTGTAGTTCTGCTCTATAATATTCAATGGAAAACTTGTTATTATTTTCGAGTCATAACGCCATTATATGCTCGTATACTGATTTTTTCTATAAAAGTGGCGCTATGAGTCCGGAAAACTATCAAGTTTTCCATTGAATAGTATAGAGCAGAACTAAACCAATACAGAAAATAAAATCTAAAATAATTCTTTGTTACATACACTCAAAACTTTTGTCGAACCAGTTTCTGTCGTAGGCAATTTATTTATATTGGTGAAAAGTCGGTAGTTGCGAAAGCACGAGTATAAAAAGGTCGATCATCCCTAATTAGTTCAACTCTTACTTGAATCAATAACAACAGATATAAATTGATCAGTTAGATAGAGTAAATTTTCGTAGTCAACTTGTATAATGAACGAGCACTTTGACCAACACCGACTTTCACGTCTCGCTAAAATGCTGAAAATGTGCAATTTCATAACTCTTATTCAAATTTTAATAATAAATACTACTGCGCAGCTGACTAATCTCGTTTTTCTCAACATTCTATTTGTCGTCTCAACTCTGAAAATATTTTCACGGATAATCCAAATGTCGACAAGCGATGCAGCATCACAAGGGCAACGATTGCACTCGTTAACACAGTTGTATAGTATACCTAATTATCGTCAGGGATTTAGAGGTGACAAATTTGGAGTAGCAACCGATGTTTATTCGACGGTTATCCATCACGGAAATCAGTTTATATTGTTAACAGGTACAACACCCAACGCGTTCGAATGTTTATTTCAAAAGTTTTTAGTCAAAGCTTTGCAACAAATGATAACAACTAAGCAATGTCGTCACACTCGTTCAATTAACCAAAATTTGTTGTATATACTACTTTTTTGGCTACGCCATTATTCAACCACTCATCAGCTTAGTGCTGAATTTAATATCCATCCTCGAAAAATACAGCGGTTAATCCGACAATGCATCCCTGTCCTATCATCCGCTATTGGAATGATAAAATGGCCTTCAATTGAAAAACTGACGGAAACGGTGATTTATGATTCGGTGCTTGGTAATATAGCAAGCTACATTGACGGAACTCGTCACAAGATTCAGAGACCGGGTAAAGAGAGCAGTTTTTAACACGTTCACTGTCCATGTATCATATATAATTCATTTAATTTTTAACCATGAAGTTCATGCATCAGATCTGATAAATTTACAAGATTAGACTAAATATGATCTTTTGTTGCGGACGTGAAACGTGTCTTCCAAATGTATCAAATCTGATTTTCCGGATTATTTTATATTTAAATCAAGTGTTTTAATCTATTCTCTTCTTAAAATTGCTATCTACTTATTTTAAGCTCAACCTCGGAGCAAGTCTGAGGTGAATGATTCACCTTGATTGCATTATGTTCCCGAAGAGAAAACCGGGTAAAACATGGTGAAATCAGTATGCCAATTACCTTAAACTCCATGGTCAAAAATTAAATGAATTATATATGATACATGGACAGTGAACGTGTTAAAATTAACGGAAGAAAAAATATTTGTTTAAAGTTTTTTTCGAAGTGCGAGGTCAACGGAAATATTACTACGGGAAGCAAAAACATTATTGTTTGACCACTATTTACATTTGCACACCAGACCGTCGTTTCGTCTTTTTTCGTACAGGATATTTTCGTTCATGACATGACACAAAGTTGTTTACCCAATCCAGGATTGCCGAGCGATGTCGAGTTTCATCTGGTTGTTGGTTACTAGGAGACAGAGGGTTTGCAAATAAGCCACCGGTTTTAACACCATTTAGGTAAGATTTCATAGAGAAAAGTTGCTGTTTTCAGAAATGGCAGTATTCTATTTAGTTTCATTATCATTGTGAAGCAAACGAGTTACGAAGGAATCGGTTGACGAAACAGCAAAGATTGGCCTTTAATACCCTAATCGACACTCCCCGAGAAAGTCCCCAGGGACTCCCCGGGGAGTCCCTCTAAAACTCCCCGGGGATTCCGTAACGGGAGTCCCCCGGGATTTTTAGGGGAGTCCC